TGTCCTATAGTCGGGAGACTATTTTGTAACTTTTAATAGTTGAGGGACTTAACAAAGTAGCACACTATAGTCAAGAGATAATTTGTATATTTTACCCTATAGTTTATTTGATATATGACGGGTTTTAGATAATTTTTTTTATAATAATCTAAGTTGATTATAAGGTAGTATGCGTTTAAAAATTTTATTAGTTACTGATAACACACATTTTGTAACTGTAGATATTCAGACAGTGACGAAATTTGAGGATAAAATTTAAGGGCAACTTAAAACTTTAAAAAATTTAGAGACTTAAATTAAAATTTTCAAAATTTTTAAAATTTTTAATTTTTTTATAAAAAAATTAGAGTTCAAACTAATAATCTTTAAGAAAAGCAATACTCATATTTACAACTAATGTCGTTAAAAAAGTCAACCACGTGTCACTAACATTTTATCATTTTTTATTTTAATGATTAAATGTTTTGTATTTTGATTGTCATTCATTAATAAATTACCGATGACACTGATATAAATTTATTTTTTGTTTTTTTATAATATTTTTTTTCTCCTCACCAACAGTCTATATATCATTTTTATTTAATTTTATCCCACTAATCAAGTGGTAAAACATATTAAACAAATAAAATCAAAGAAATAAAAGTAACTACCTCAAAAAATGAGTACTAAAAAAAGGGTAATATGTTCGTGACTAATGATTTAGTTTATACTAAAAATATATTTATGAGTAGAATCTTAACCTAAAATTAATATATTATATAGTAAAAAGATATAGATCAATTATTTATTTAGTCACTGATAACTGTCGTTTTGCTATCAAAATAATTTCTGACTTCTTAATAAAAAAATAAAAAAATATAGTCTAGAGAAGCAGAGTCGATCTACATAGACTGTGGTGTTTCTGATTTAATAAAACTCTTTCTTGATTTTAGAATAAAATAAAATTCCATATAAAGTTGAAAATATATATTAAAATAAAATAAATAATAAAAAAGGGAAAATAATATAATAATAAATATTAATAGTAATAAATATAAGAGGATATTTTTAAAAGTTGTTTTTAAAATTAAATATAAGAATTAAATAAATAAAAATAATTAAATAAACAAAATTAAAGAGATTGAGATAAAGAGAAACTTATTGTGAAAGCAGCTTCAGATTTCAGCTTCGCCTCAAATTCCTCAGATCATCGAAATATATTTTTACTTCAAGATTCACGTCAGCTTACAAGAACAATACTTCGTTGCCAACTCGGATTGTGTCGTTTCAACAATAACTGATTCCGATCTCAGTTTCCTCTTAGCAAACAATTTTGCTAAGTGTGTTATCGGGAAGTTGAATATGCTTCAATAAGCAAATTCTTCTTCAAATGTTAACCATAACAATATCCGGACCAATGTCGAAATCGTTTTGATTTAAAAAGTAAGCTTAGAAAACATAGAGAAAATCCAAAACGATTTAAGTACCTTACAATTCTCACGTTTTGAATTAAGCCTTCGCTTTAGTCTTCGGCTTGAAAGAAAATTAGCTAAGCATAACCAAAGTCATATTTATCATAATAGAAAAGTATGCGAAAAATAGAAAGAAAGCTAGAGAGAAAAAGAAGATTTTATTCTCAAATGAGAGAGAGATGTTTTTAGGCTCACCCTTAGATGGTATTTATAGCCTTTAAATTCCTAAAAACAAGCTAAAACATCTTAAATTCTAATTAAAACACTTAAAACTGTTTAAACTAAAATACATAAAAAAATCATATAATATTCTAAATCCTAATTAAAATACAAAAACCTATTTAAACTAAAATACCTAAAACAAAGATAAAATATAAAAATAATATTCTAAAACTTAATTAAAATACTAAAACCTATTTAAACTAAAATACTAAAACCTATTTAAATTGAAATACAAAGATAAAATATAATGTTTAAAAAAATATCCTAAACTTGAGTTTAATTCAAATCCGAATTTCAGTCAGCTTTGATTCCGAAAATAAAAAAAAACTGCAGAATTGTGTCTTTTTTATGCAATTTTCATAATCTTACGTCATGTACAGAAAATGAATTAAAATGAACAAATAAACCACAAAAATCAATGATTAAGGAGTAATTTAAAAGTAAAATATTAACTAAATTAAGCACTTATCAGTTACTTATTTAATTTTGTGTTTATGTTTTGGTAATTTAATTTTTTTCTTTAAAATTATAATCAAGTTACGCTTTATTTCTATTTTAATCGCATATGGTTAGAAAATTAAGATAATATTGACATGACATTTATTAATTTTCACGTCATTTTCTCTTTAATCATCAATAATCTAATGATATTATATGACGAATAAACTAATGACACGTATGACCGTAATAATAAATTCATTGAAAAATTCCAAAGTAGGCAGGAGGAATCAAACCCGGCAGGATTAGAACTTGAATCTTTCGACTCCATTAGCCTAGAGTTTCATTCTCCAAGCCCTCAGGGTTATGGTATTTCCTACGGAATTTATAATCTCACCCAGGCCAAATTCTTTGACGGTTTGGCAGGATTATAATCTGGTATACGCATAGGGATTCCAAGCCCTGAGGGTAATGGTATTTCCTATGGAGAATCTGGATCAGAGCTCGTCTCACCCAGGCCAAATTGTTTGTTACTGTAAATGGATGATTAATTAAAAGGGGTTAGGCGAGGGAGCTTTCCTTAAATAAACTAGAATTATTTGTTGCCATTAATAAAATTATTCCTAAAAATAACATATATGGATTATTTTACTTGCCAAAAATTAACTTTACAAAATCTAAAAAAGCTTCTAATGGAAAAGTTATGTTTTCATTAAATGAGCAGATTCTTCCTGCTCTTGCCTTTTCTGGGATCTTTCTTTCTTTCCAAGCAGTTTCCTGTCTAAATATAAGTAGTATCCACTGGGGCTTATCATAGTTTTCTCATTACACCAAACCTGTTTGATATTTGAGAGACAGCCGTCTTCTTTGTTCTGTTTCTTGTGTTTAATTACTAAGGTACCAGCTTTCTTAAAATTTGCATTACTTCCTGACATGTTTGTTTCAGTTGTTGAATTATAAAATTTTCTGCAGTTATTGTTTCTGATTTCGTTTGATTGTTAGTTCGAGATTCAAATCCAGACGGTATGATGTGTATACATTAGATTGACTGTAATGGTTATTTCTTACCTTGCAAGGAACATAGATTAACTATAAACAAGTGTACTTCGTTTAATTAGTTCATACCATTAGTTATGGAATTCTGCTGATTTTGGTTTTCGACGATTCGGAGATTCTGGTTTTTGTTTCTTTTACGTCGATAATTGCATCTTACTATCCTTGAAACAGTGTCTTTTTTCGTTTCTGTTCTTAGAGATTATGGAAGAAGAGATATTGAGTGTGATTTCAAGTGGTGAAGCGAAACCTAATTCAGATGTTTCGGATTCAATTAGCACCACTCATCAACGAAACAAACGCAAAAGGTGTTGCGGTAAAGGCAATTCGTCACAATTCAAAGGAGTTATGCGACAGAGAAACGGACAATGGGGTGCTCAATTATACGTTAATCATACCCGAATTTGGCTTGGGACTTTCACGTCCGAAATCGATGCGGCCATCGCCTACGATAGCGCGTCGATCAAGTTCCGTACCGGAGACACTCATCGAAACTTTCCGTGGACCGAAATTACGATGGAGGAGCCGACGTTTCTGAGTCGTTACAGCGCTGAAGCGGTCCTTAGCATGATAAGGGACGGTTCTTACCAATACAAGTTCATGGAATATATCAAGGCGCGCTCTAGAGTTAATGCCAAAACAGAGGCTGATATCAACTCAATGGGGACTAACAGCAAAGAAGGGCTAATCTGCAAACAAATGTTCGGAAAAGAGCTGACCCCGAGTGATGTTGGCAAGCTTAACAGGCTCGTCGTCCCGAAAAAATATGCCGTCAAGTACTTCCCCCTGGTTTCCGGTGACGAAAAAGAGAACGATGCCGTCGGCGGAGATCGTAAATCAAATGATGTTGAATTGGTTTTCTATGACGAATTTATGAGGCTATGGAAGTTTCGTTATTGCTATTGGGCTAGCAGCCGAAGCTTCGTTTTCACCCGGGGTTGGAGCCGGTTTCTTAAGGAGAAGGAGTTGAAGGCCAATGATGTGATTTCGTTCTACATATGCGAGAGCCGAAAGGAGAACGAAGTCCGGAGATTCTGCATGATCGACGTGAACAAACCCAGGAAACCCAACGTGGCATTCGTCGAGGGGAACAATGTCGGTACCGGAAGAGAAATCGATTTGCAGCTCCGGTTGGGGCAGTCGGATGGTGAAAAACAAGAGCAAGGATCAATGGCGGCAACGAAGGTTAAACAAGAAGTTAAGGGATTCAAACTCTTTGGCTTCCATATTAACTGAAGCTCAAATCCATATTTTTTAATAGGATTTTAGCCGAGATTAGCATTGCATTAATTAGATTTTTTTGGCAGTTTTCCGTGTTTTTCATTTTCTGGATTTTGTTGGTTGATTTTGTCATCTAAGAATGATATCAAAATTGCTCAATGCGAGGCTTGAGAATCAAGCAATTAAACCATCTTCATAAGTGAAGTTATCTGTTTCTCTTTTCATGTTTTATTTTGCTTTCTTATAGTTTATAATTTTTTTTTCACTTTATAATTGTAACAAGTTCAATTTAAATCGCATTTGTTTTAATAATATAATTCAGATTCTCTGCCTAATTTAATTTTTTGCTTGTATTATATTTTTATAGACACTGGGATTTTAATTCGTATTAAAAATTTTACATATAATTCGTATCAAATTTTATAATTGTATCATTCCAAATTTGGATGATATAAAAATTGATTGATTCTCTTAGAACTTTTAAATATTTTTAGCATTAATATTTTACATATTTTGAGATTTATTTACAATAAAAAATAATATAAATATGTTTTATAAGTACTTTCTAATAATGAATCTCATATTTCTATTTTGCATTTCATGATGAATCTCCCAACATGATATGCTATTCTAGATTTCTTACCCTACATTTGCAGTAATCGGTGCTTGAACTTCTTCTAGTGTTCTCCCCCTGGTCTCAGGCACCAGCTGTGCAATGAAAATGATAGCTATCCCTGAAATGCTTGAAAATATGAAGAAGGTTCCTGTAATCGTGTAATGATAAATGGTTTAGAATGATAACTCCATGGGAATCCCTGATTGTCATTTAAGATTATTATGTATTTAATGTATTCTAATGTTAGTTGGATTTGGGCAGGAATTTAAACAGCAGTATGTTATTAGAATTACAGTTGTTATATAATGGTAAATGTGTCGTCCGAAACCGTTATTCTACAATAATGATATCCACAATTACCGTAATTGCACATGCTATTGTCGCAATGGCGATAAATGCAAAGCAACCAAGAACGCAACCGTAATTTAAACTCCTGGATTCGGGTGTGAGAGACATATTCGCGTTTTTTCTATTTTTCATAAGAAGAAGCATAGAACTTCACCAGCAGAGTTCCATTGAAGAAGAAAGTTGAAAGTATAAGAAACAACCCAAGAACAGAACCAGTTCACCAGATTGCGAAGGCTTCCAGCTGAACCCTATATGTTCACAGGAAATATCTGAAGAAAATAAAAAGAAAAACTAAAAAGGTTTATATATATGCTATAGATTAAATGGGGAAGAAAATGAAGAACAAAACTGTTGACTAACCTCAGACATTATAATCCATGGAATTCCAGACATTCCTAATGAATAAAATCTCATGTACATCTGAATGCACAAATAAAATAAACCTTATGCATCTGAACATAGGTTAAAAGTATGTGTGGTTGCACCTATTCTCGATTTATCGATTAAAAGAAAATTGAGAATAATGGTCAATAGATGACATTTTTAAAGAAAATGAAAAATAAGTGTTAGCAGAAAGACCAGGATGCCAGCCAAGAAATGCCATAATTGGAGTGATTTCCTCCAACCACTAAAGATCCTGTTCAGGAAATAGAGCATAAGATGCTGAAAGAAAAAAAAATCTAGGTTGTTTGTTTGTGTTTTTTTGTTCTGTTTTCTGAATAACCTGCAAGAGGAATGACAGGCCTGTAAGGAAGCAACCAAATAATGCACCAACAATGGAAACCTGCAAACATGTTTGGATTTCAGTAATATTTTATCTCAGTTTAGTTGAAACAAAGGGTAATGATTGATTGTTTTATATTCAAACCATTAGAAGAGGCTGTCTCCCTGATCTATCGATTAAAAGTATGCCGAGAATGTTCACTAAAATCTGTATAAAGATGTGAACATTATCAAAGGCAACAACAGATGAGTTTTGAATCAAATATTACATATGCAAATAGATAAAACAACTGCGTCACTGCAACCGCTATGATTCCTATTGTGCCTGGAAATCCTGTTTAACAAAATTTCAAGTTCCTTCATAAGCATGCAGTTTTCAACGACATTATTCGAACTCGTGTGTGAATATCCGATACAGGTATGTGTCTAACACTGGTGTGTAGGTGTCGGAGGTTGCAGCATATTTCAATAGAATCCCACAACTTACCAGCTAAATATAAAATGCTGTTAACATAATAGGCAAATCCTCTGTAACCTCCCAGTTGTTGTAGGAGCATCAAGCCAACTCCAACCTATGCCAAAAATCTTAGTTTCAGTCATGATTTTGGTCTTTATTTCCTCACACTGTTCTAACAAGAAAATATTACTTCCAAATTTGATAGTTTGGGGCCATATCATTATTGCATAAGAAATTGTTCCAAGATGCAATACCAAGAGCTTGGCAATGGAAATGTGGATCGATTTTGTTCGTGAAAGGGGAGCATAATATTATTTAGTCATTATTTACACACACAAAAATCCACGAACAGAGACGTAGTCTTCTTCGGTTTGGTTAGAGAAAATGAAATTCAATCTTTGGAATCATAGAAAGTTGCAATAATTAACATTTTAGAAGAACTTTCAATAGTTTGCATAAAAGGAAAAGAAAAATTCAATACTTAATACACTTAAAAATCGCAGTCAAATTAGCTAAAAATTGTTTGATTTTACAAATTGAATCAATGTGGTACACAACTAGTCCTACAACTGATAATACTAAATTTACAATGTAAGTTAACAAAGATCTGAAAATTTTCATACTGTTTTTGGGTTATTTGCAGAAAGTAGAACCCAAAGTTCAATCAAAACGTAGACATGGATTAACAGAAAACCCATATGAAAGTTCTTCAAGTTGCAGGCAAAAGAATTGAGGGAGAGATGAACTTCAATGACTACTTACAGAGTAGCCACAAGTAAAAGACGCACTGGCTGCAACAGTGATGCCAAGGGCAAGGGACCACGTAAACCCATCGCCATTGTAGCTATTGACAATCAATGGCTCAATTGCCGGTCCCTCATCTGTGACTTCTTCCACCATTTTCTTCGTATCCTTGATGTTTCAGATTGAAGAACAGGAAGAATTTTAAACTTAGAATTTTCGAGAGCCCTTGAAACTTGTGGAAGAAAAAAAGGAGAATGGTCACTATTGAATTAAATCACATATCATTCTCTTTGTTCTTAAGAAGCGCCTATTAAAAAAAACAATAACTCGTGACAAATAATTTTAAAAATGATATTTTGATTGTTTGATTTCATGTCGAATATTAACTTAATATAATATACAATGCATACATCAAAATTCACAAGCAATTAAGTGATTATATATTTCATCTCGGTTATTAGTATTATTTATTCTTAAACCCTATAAATATAGTATAAAAAGACTAAATCACAAGCTACTAGATATATATATATATATAACCCTACAAACATTTTATGAATACTGTTGCGTATTGAGGCAAGAAGAGCATCAGCTTGGTCTTCAGCTCATACTTTTGTCTTTAGGCTTATGTCGTTTCTATTCATTTTCCCCACTACCAGTGAAAATTTATATAATACTTTAAATATGATTATGGTATAAATCTAAAATCATTAAAAATATATATAACTCAAATTATTTTTGTTTGCAAATTTGTATAAACGTAAATATTACTTTAAACACGATTGAGACATAAAAGTATAAAATAATACGTTGAATATTAAGTCTAAAAAAGCATACCTTTATAATTTCTAAACTATATTCATATCCAATAACATATTCAACTTGAAGACCTTTCAATAAATATTAGACGTAACCAACCATGGAAATCATATCATATATTACTTTTAAGGTTTTGTTTAATAAAGTTTAGGGATGTGATTGTAATTATTATCGGATGTAGATGTACAATTTTATGTTAGGGGTGAATTTTTAAAATGTTAAGAGATGGTGAATTTATAGAATTATAGTGAGACGAAAATATATTTTTCAATCGAAAATACAAAAAAATATTTAAAATATATAAGAATCAATCACTAATTATTATACAAAAAATTTTAATAAGGTTTTGTTTAATAAGGTTTTGTTCTTCGATATATTTCTACCTGTTTCCCTCTATCGATCACTAATTATTATACAATTGTAATTGTATATGAAGTTTTGAAATAGACTTCGGTAAATAAATGAAAAAAGAGAGAAAAAACATATCAGAATGGAAAATTTTAAAGGAAGAAATTAATGATGGAAATAGTCACTCTTTAAAATTCTAAAGCACAAGCAATCAATTATTGAAATTTCTAAGATATTCACCCAGTTATTGCTCTATTATTATTATAATTAAAAATTATTGATATTCATAATATCAATTTATTTTTTTAGTTTATACATATAAATACTTTAATAATTAGTTTACATTTTAAAATATAAATAGTTTACGGTAAACAACTTGAAACCTGCCCCAAGTTTGTGGTTCCGCAATAGGCATCTCCCTTTGAGATATTCTCGTCCCTTGTCGAAACGTAATAGATATCCCCCCTTTACTTTTCTTTATTTTCACTATTTCCCCACAACGTTTCTCATATTTTAAATCTCATCCTTATGATTTTTCATTTGATTACCATTTACCAATGCGATGACTCTCCTGATTTGTCATAGTGTGCTCATTATGTCGATGTCAACAAAGTGGGGCTTGACTTTTACCTTTATTATTACAAACCTAATATTAATTATCTTAATCTTAGATTTGCTGTACGAATAAAGTAACCTTAATGATTAAGAAATTATTGTTATTCCTTAAAGTCTCATGTTAAAATATCATATATGTAGGGATACGAGAATTAAAAGTGAAATAATTGAGAATCTTTGAACGATACTAACTTGTATTTAGCTTAAATTAAGAAAATAAAATTTTATAATTTAAGTTTAAATTTTATATTTGGGAGAAACAAAATCAACAAACTATTATAAAATTTCAATCTTTTTCTCTCTATTTCCTTGTATTTTTATTTTCATTTAGAGTTAGATTGTACTTATCTTCAATGATGATGTCAATTTTAAATTGATCGTCGATCATTGAATTTTTCTTCTATTTCATCACTTTTTGATACGAGATGCATTTTTTTTAAAATTAATCTTTCTTTGTTCATATGAAAACAGTAAATGATTTTATCAGCTCTTGTAGTACGTTTTTTCCACAATTGAATTTGACATTGTCTCTTCATATCCAAACAACATTTATTTGACTATCTTATTGATACATTCTTACTTTAGACTTACGAATTAGATATTGGTAGACATTCATAATAATAAAAAAAAGATAAGTCACGAATAAACTATGATAATGTCAATTTATCAATGAGTTATCATTAATATGTGTATTTTTATGTTAGTATCACTTATGTTATCCTTTTTCATTGTTTGTAATAATGTTTATTATCTATTATTTGTTCGGGTGGTCTAATTGAATTTTTAATCATTTTTTGTATGATGTTTTTCTTATCTTTAATTGACTAGTTGTGTGATTTAATAATTTAAGAAAAATACATTACTTATATCGATAAGTAAAAGTTAAAGATTTAAAAATTGATATTATGAATAAAAAAATAAACTAAGAGTTTTATATTTATAATATTTTTTTTATAAAATTTAATTTAAATTTATCGATTAATAAATTAAATATAATATTAAGAGAACTTCTTCAAACTATCAATAAACGGCAGTAAAATAATTTCATAATCACAAGCTCTCCCAAATTCAAAAACAACCCAAATTAACAGATAACCTATCAACCAAATTCATTTGACCGAAAAAGGATCTTATTGAACACTTCTTAAAATATCAAGGGACTGGTCTGAATATTTATACCGTTGTTCTTGCTTACACGGCAATTAACATTCAACACAGAAAGCAAAGAACCGTCTTTCCATTTTCTCTATAATCTTACTCTCTGTTAAAAAGGTCAAAGCCAACCACCGCAAAATAAAGGGGAAAAATCATTTCCGGCGACCGTCAAGCCGTGAAACGCCTCCGTTCTGATATTATCCTCTTATGCTATTGTAGATCATTTTTACTTTCCCGGTAACGCCCCGGTGGCCGGAAAAATAAATTACTTTTGGATTATTTCTTGATTATGAAGAGCAAAGGCAACATCGGAAACAACAAAGGCTCCAATATTGTTAATAATAAAAATAAAAATCCCAAAAATAATCGTTTTTTGCCTATTTCTTTGAAATTCATATCTTCCTGCATCAAAACAGCCTCATCCGGTGTCCGGTCAGCTAGTGCATCCGTTGCCGCTTCTATATCTGGGGACAGTTACGAACACCAACAAGACCAGGTTTTCTATTTTAGTCCTTTTCACTATGGAATACCTAGTTATAATCTTAATTAATTTAGGTTTACTTTTTTTGTTGATTTAGGGTTTATTTTTGGATAAATAAGCTCCTTTCATCTCATTTTTCTGTTAGATTGCTCAGAAAATAATTGGATGTTTAAGTTTTGTTTTTCCATTTTATGAATTAAAATAAATCTACTTCTAGTGATTTAGTGCTTTGTGAAGTAAATGTTGTCATTTACTGCTAGAAAGTAAATTTTTTTACGAGATTTATTTTTGAATATCTGATGAAATTCAAGTTGGATCGTTGAAAACGATGTTTTCTTTTTGTGAATTTTTATTAAAATGAATGAAGTTGTAAATTATTCGTTAATGAATTAAAAAAATGTTAGTTCATGATACAAAGGTTATTTTTTCCAGCTATTAATCAGTGATGCCTTGGGGGCTAAAGGGAAACTATGCTTATTTTTAGAATATATCAATGCTGTAATATTGTTTATCTGTTGCTTTAGAGTTTTATCAGTCTTAATAATGTCCACATTATGTTTTAAGGTCAAAATCATCATAAACTCTCTGGACGTAGATCCATTATTTTGCGATAACAATGATGATAATTAATCATTTCCTTGACCCATTTATGGTTGTACCTTTCTGAAAATGGTTGGGTTATAAATTTGGACAGAGTAACAGAATCAGTTTATTCTAAGCTTGCTATGTGGCAACATTTTGATTCTCATTTGCTCTTTAATGGCTATTATATTAAAATTAACTTTAGTATTGCTGTGAATTGAGTTCCTTTAAGGTCAAAATGGAACTCAACTGTTGAATGCCATTGTTTTTCATGTAAATTGTTTAAGTTTCCCACCATTTTAACGGCAATAACTCCTTTTAAAATTGTTTAACCCTTATCCTAAGTGGGTGTGCCCAATGTGATATGCAAATATGGTTTTAACTGACTCTGTCATATAGCTTGCATTGTTTTACTTCTTTTGATAGCTTGATATCCTGTATATGCATTTGCCTTGTAATTCTTGTGTGGCATAACTTGTTGATACTCTGTTTGCAATTTTTTTTTTGGAATTCTTTGTAAAATAGGTGCTCTGGACTTCCTTTGACAGACTAGAGCTTGGTCCATCATCTTTTAAAAGAGTTCTCTTACTTGGATACTCCAATGGTTTTCAAGTTCTTGATGTCGAAGATGCCACTAATGTCAATGAACTTGTTTCAAGGCGTGATGATCCAGTTACATTTTTACAAATGCAGCCACTTCCTGAAAATTCTGAGGGTCATGAAGGATTTAGGGCATCACACCCTTTACTTCTGGTTGTTGCCTGTGACGAGTCAAAAGGTTCAGGTTCGATGCTTACCGGAAGAGATGGTTTTGCTGAGCCTCAAACTGGAAATGCTCTTATCTTCCCTACTGCTGTTCGATTTTATTCGTTAAGGTCTCATAATTATGTCCATGTACTAAGATTTCGGTCCACTGTATATATGGTTAGATGCAGTCCTCGGATAATTGCTGTGGGGCTTGCAACACAAGTAAGAATTAGCTTATATTTTCTATTTTCTTGCCTCAAACTTAGTCTTAGTACAACTAGTGTTTAACATTTTTCATAGACAAGTCCCAAAAGATTAAGCAATTTTTATTCTTTTCTTTCCTTTCTATGTTTGGAATGCTCTAGTTCAATGCTCAATTCAAAATAAGCAGATTAGATGGTTCCAAGACTACTTGTGTTTTATCAAGTAGTTTAGATACATTATTTATTTCATATTTATTTGATCTACTATTTAATGGAGCTAAACAATTTAAACTATGCCATTTTCTTTTATTGCTGGGCAGATATACTGCTTCGATGCGCTCACTCTTGAAAACAAATTTAGTGTCCTCACCTATCCTGTCCCTCAAGCAGGCGGCCAAGGAATGGGTGGGATTAGTATTGGATATGGACCAATGGCAGTCGGTCCCAGATGGTTAGCTTATGCTTCAAACAATCCTTTGCAGTCCAATACAGGTCGTCTGAGTCCACAGAATCTTACACCATCTCCTGGTGTTAGTCCATCGACTTCACCTAGCAGTGGGAATCTTGTGGCTCGATATGCCATGGAATCTAGTAAGCAATTAGCTGCTGGGTTAATCAATCTGGGTGATATGGGCTACAGAACTTTGTCGAAATACTATCAAGATCTTGTTCCTGATGGTTCTGGTTCTCCTGTATCTTCAAATTCAGGCTGGAAAGTTGGTCGAGCTGCTTCACATCCTGCGGAGACTAATATTGCTGGGACGGTTAGTTTTTTAAGCATACTTTAGTCATTTGTTTGAGTGCCTGAGTTACATTCATGATCATTGCACTCTAATTCCACCTCAATGTGAAATGTTTCCATTCTTTTCTTTGCCTACATGCTTGGATTTGTTTGTAAATGTGAGATCCATTTTTGAGGTCAAATTTCTTAGAGAGGTATCGGATGAGACAACATTGCTCATTGGTTTTTAGAAATATTTAATAGAGAAAATAACTTCAGTGACCAAAAATCTCAGATAATATACGATTTTGACCAATTTTTTTTGGATTTACGAAAATGACCAACAAAATCGCAATGCGATCTCTAATTCGCATTGCGATCTCCACTATCGCAAATTCGCGTTACATTTCGCGTTGCGATAGTTGAAAATCGCGTTGCGATTTTCCATTTCGCGTTGCGATAGTTGAAATTCGCGTTGCGATTTTCCATTTCGCGTTGTTATAGTTGAAAATCGTGTTGCGATTTTCCATTTTGCGTTGCGATAGTTGAAAATCGCATTGCGATTTTCCATTTCGCGTTGCGATAGTCTACAGTTGTTGTTGCGAAAGTCTACAGTTGTCGTTGCGATTTTCCAAATTCGTTGCGATAGTTAAAAAAAAGATTTTGTTTCTTAAGAATTTTCTCTAAAAAGATAGTATCCGCGCGGACGTGTCGAAGACACGTATGACCACGACCACGACCACGACCACGACCACGACCCGACCCGAGACAGACGGCGGCGGCGGCGCGCGAGAGTCCCCCTTGTTCTCTATCACTCAACAAGGAAGTGGGAAAGCCAAACCTTAAATACCATTCCCAATAGTATTTCTAATACTATGTGGGATTTGAGCATTACCAACACTTGTTCCCAATACTATGTGGGATTGAGCCTTAAATAGTGATATTATTTTTGAATGTTTTGCTTAAAATTGGAATAATCGCGATTGATTGTAGATTGACTTTTAATTATGACATATTTAATCGTATAATACTAATGCAATTGGTTGCTGATTCAGTTGTTTTAAGGTGCATGATTGTTAATTGTTTCCTGAATAATCACATTGTATTGGAAACAAATGTTGGTAATGCTCAATCCCACATAGTATTGGAAACACTATTGAGAATGATATTTAAGGCTTGGCTTTCCCACTTCCTTGTTGAGTGATAGAGAACAAGGGGGACTCTCGCGCGCCGCCGCCGTCCGTCTCGTCTCGGGTCGTGGTCGTGGTCGTGGTAATACGTGTCTTCGACACGTCCGCGCAGATACTATCTTTTTAGAGAAAATTCCTAAGAAACAAAATCTTTTTTTTAAACTATCACAACGAATTTGGAAAATCGCAACGCGAAATGGAAAATCGCAACGCGATTTTCAACTATCGCAACGCGAAATGGAAAATCGCAACGCAATTTTCAACTATCGCAACGCGAACTGGAAAATCGCAACGCGAAACGGAAAATCGCAACGCGAAATGGAAAATCGCAACGCGAATTTCAACTATCGCAATGCGAATTGGAAAATCGCAACGCGATTTTCAACTATCGCAACGCGATTTTCAATTATCGCAACGCGAAATGCAACGCGAATTTGCGATAGTGGAGATCGCAATGCGAATTAGAGATCGCATTGCGATTTTGTTGGTCATTTTCGCAAATCCAAAAAAAATTGATCAAAATCGTATATTATCTGGGATTTTTGGTCACTGAGGTTATTTTCTCTATTTAATATCATAGGCATGGAAATTCTGACCTGCTAAATATAAAATGAAGATATAAGTGTAATTTTTAGGATTTTCTTTTTTATATTATTCATTGCAGGTTGTCATTAAAGATTTTGTTTCCAGAGCTGTTATATCGCAGTTCAGAGCTCACACTAGTCCAATTTCTGCTCTGTGTTTTGATCCTAGTGGAACTCTTTTAGTTACAGCTTCGATTCATGGGAACAATATAAATATTTTTCGAATTATGCCATCCTCGACAAAGAATGGATCTGGCACTCAAAACTACGATTGGAGCTCGTCACATGTGCATCTTTACAAGCTCCATCGTGGCATGACTTCAGCTGTACGTTCATGCACTTTCTACCTTTTAAAAAACTGTAATGTTTTACCTATCTATAATTCTTTTATCATTTTTTTGTTGCAGGTAATACAAGATATTTGTTTTAGTCCTTACAGTCAGTGGATTGCCGTTGTTTCATCTCGTGGCACTTGTCATATTTTTGTTCTTTCTCCATTTGGTGGTGAGAATGTTCTTCAAATTCAGAATTCTCATGTAGACGGGCCTGTCTTATCACCAGTTTTATCTCTCCCTTGGTGGTCTACTCCATCTTTCGTGATAAACTCTCAAACATTTTCTTTGCCACCACCAACTGTTACTCTCTCTGTTGTTAGTAGAATAAAAAACAGTAACTCATGGCTTAATACGGTTACCAATGCTGCATCTTCTGCAGCTGGGAAGGGCTCCTTCCCCTCTGGTGCTTTTTCTGCTGTTTTTCATAATTCTTTACCAAATGATGTGCAACGAGCTCAAGTGAAAACTAATATTTTGGAGCACCTATTAGTTTACACTCCTTCCGGTCATGTTGTTCAATATAAACTATTACCCTCATTTGGGGTAGAGGCAGGTGAAAATGCTTCAAGAATCGGACCGGACTTCGCTCCTCAGGTACAAGATGAGGAGTTACGGGTGAAGGTTGAAACTATGCAATTGCAAGCATGGGATGTATGCCGAAGAACAGATTGGCCAGAAATAGAGGAGTGTCTTTCTGGAATGACTCATGGAAGAAAAGACACATTAGAGATGACTATGGATGTTTCTGATTCTGAAGATAATGATGCTGGGCACAAGGACTTGTCAGAGCCCCAAGGCCAGTCTCACTTGTATCTTTCAAATGCAGTAGTGCAGATTAGTTCTGGAAGGATTCCTATCTGGCAGAACTCTAAGGTATATGTTTTTAGGGCCATGAGATTCTCATCACCCATTTTACTTACACCTTGTATGTAATTTTGTAGGTATCATTCCATACAATGAGTCCTGCAGGGTTTGAAGAGCATAAATTCACCATAGATCAGTCTGGTGGGGAAATTGAAATAGAACAGATGCCTACATATGAGGTTGAAATTAGACAGAAGTATTTATTGCCTGTTTTTGAGCATTTTCACAGGCTTCGACCTGAATGGAACAACAGGTATTTTCTACATCCTTTTATATTTTTCCTTATGGTTTTGACTATTTTCATCACTTCTTTTTCATATGGAAGCGAAGTTTAAGACGGTCTTACCTAGTGCTGAATGTTAGTTGTACTGTATCACTAAATGAATTTTCCTTCATAATATTCCTTCTTTACCCAAGGGGATTCGGTGGAGAAAAATATCCAATGTCTTCTGAAGATGCGAAAGCAAGATTCTCTCAAGTCACTGTTATTTCTCACTCCAAGTTGATGTCACCTTGCTCGGTTGAAAACTCAGATAGTGGTATGGCATTATTCTGAATTTTAGATATCATCCAAAATACTTTGGATCCAATTCATTTGATGCTTTGCGTTTTTACCAGGATCAACGAGGAATTCTTATACTTCCAGCATTCAATCTGGAAAGGATGGTGGTGGGGTAAAAGGACAAAATTCTGTTTTCTCATCAGCTGTGCTTAATCAGAGCACTCTTAGCAAAGATGCTGGTTCAATTTCTTTTAATCAATCTAATGGAGGTGTTTGTCACATTGAAGATAGTAACTCAACTAATAGTATGTCATCCTTAACAAGTGGCTCTCTATCTGGTAGTAGAATCGTTGCAAAAGAGGTTCAGGTTCCAAATAGTGACGGGATAAATGATGTTTCAAACACGAGTTCTAACCGTTCTGATTTGAGTATGAACATGTTAGATGAGGGGCCAGTAAATGAGTCGCCAGATTTTGAGCAATTTTTTCAAGAAGAGTATTGTACAGCATTACCCTCAGGTGCATGTCCTGAACCGAAGAAAGTTGTTACTGATGTTGACAACAGCAGCAGTCCTTGTGATAAAGAAAAATCTGAGGAAGAAGTTGACAACGATGATATGCTTGGGGGAGTTTTTGCCTTCTCTGAGGAAGGTAAGTATTTAAATGCATCAATTAATTGTTCATACTTGATATATATGATGCATATAGTCCAAAAACGTAGCTTCTAATTTTGCTTCTTCTGTATAACATACAAACTATCTTTTGTACTATCTACCAAACCTAACACGTTATAGAAATCATGATTTCATTTTGCGGTATTTTGACTTGTATCTTCTTGTGTTTCTTCCCTAATGAGTGGTTTTTGCCTTCATAATCGTTTGTACTGTGAACTTTCAGGTTCTTTCGGCTAAAACGGCTGCCTTGTCAGGGGGGTTCACATTCTAATAAGAAGTGTGGTTTGATGATTCTAAAATGCTACTGACTGATTTATTCAGGTAATTTATAATATCGTAACTACTGGCTTATTGTGATGCCAAGGGCAAATTATCTGGTTTCTTCCTTCATAATGTACATTTTGTAAATTATATTTGATAAAAATACAAATGATTTGTGAGGACATGTACTTTCTGTGTTGTGTAACATTATTTATTCTTCAAAGAAAAAAAGAAAAAAATAATAAAAGAAAAAAATGAATCACTGTAGTGCATTGTGTTATTTTCCATTTGCTTAAATTCTGTGGTCTATAAGCCTCTAGATTTTCTGGACATGTCTTTTTGTATTTTTTGTCAAAATTCAAACACGATGTATTGAACATATGTCGTACATGCAATATATCGTATTTGTATTATTTTATCGGAGCTGCATTGGAATTTACCCCCCACAATCTAGATGCCCTTCCCATCAGAGTGGTCCCTTGAACTATAACCAGTAACTGGGATACTCTTTTCCATAACCATTTCTCCATTGAGTAGAATCTCTGACTAAAATCTTCACCCTTACATGCAAATATGCATGCACTTGCGTATAGGAAATTTGAAAACTTAAGAAGCCTGCGAGTATGGAGATTAGAGCCATTGTTGTTGGCCAACCCAGCTAGGAGACTGTCCTTTGAATTTAGCCTTAAGTTGCGAATCTCATGAGTTGTTTTTTCATAATTGTCTCAATCCGACACATAACTGTTGTAAACCCCACGCTGTTGGGGTGATTTGTGTCTGAAATCCCCTTATAATCAGCCTTCACTGGATGAATCGATGTTCACATTCAATGAACACAGATATTTTGTTAATTTTAGACAACTATTTTCTCGACCGGGATGTTCCCCTACATTGCAGCAAACCTGCAAACAAAGCCAAAATATACGCTTCAATGACAGCAATTCATCAATTAGTCTGCTCTCTCGTCTTTTTCTTTCATTATTTTATGAAATATATCCACATCGTCACCCAACATCTTTTCATGCTTTTTTAATCTTTTCATTTAAATTATTTATGTTGTTTACATTTAGATACGAGTGCACAGCACGAGAAGTCTTTTATAAAGTATAACATCTTTATATTATTCTATATACATAATTGAGTCCTCAGTGGAGTTAGTCATTTGAATAAAATCATGTTGGGTTACTTTACTCAAATTCCAAACACACACACACACATATATATGATGGGATCCTATTACAAACATAAAACTCTTTTAGTTTTACACAAATTTAAGAATGTAGATGATTGAAAATAGATAGTTGAATAACAGTAGAAAATGAGAAGATATTTACTGGAAAAAAAACAGAGTTAATCTCAACCATTTATTTTCATTCATCCAACAGTCTTAAATCTATGTAAAATTAAAGATTTTTACTTTGTAATTGGATCCTAATCTTAATATATATATAATATATTTTTCCCCGAATACTTGCAATTTATTTAAAAAAATTATATTCTCGTACATTCATATTTGAATGTATACATATATATTTTTCACGTCACGTTGAACTTGTGAAATATATTTTCATGTTGTTTTTCAGATTCAAGACCATATTACCGTAAATCTCCCAAATTAATGTCGAAAATGAGAGGAATTTGGAATCATTATCTAAACTTTTCGAGTGTTAAAGGAAATTTTCAAAATTATTTGAAGTTAACAAATTGTTCCAGTCATTTAACTCTTATAACCATAAATAATCAATGAAGGCTGAATTGCCATCTTCAACCTTTCGACAGCACACTCCCTACTGCCGCCACAACAATCATCTTCTTCTCATAGATGGTAATAAACATTGTTAAAAACTTAAAATGTAAAAATCAAAGCTTTTTATTCCATCACCATCTTGTAAAAACACTATTTTTCTCTAAAAGCGCCGTTTGATAAGCGTGATTCTGAACTATGTGCTTCTCATCACTCCGACCAAGCCTTTGATTGAGTTGGGTTTAGTTCAAGGTTGAACGATGAAATGAAGCTTGCGGTTTAATGATGTTTGGGTGTCAATCGTATGTACTGGTGGTGGTGGTGGTGACAGTGGGTTAGGACTTACCAGGCTTTGGTTGCAATGGTGAACGTAAATGGAGGGGTAGAGCTGATAAAGTGGTGATGGGGGAATATGCTGTTTGCTGTTATGATGGTTGAGGAGAGTTGTTGGTATTGTTTGGCTTCGGTTTAAATGAAAAACAACAAAAAATGAAATTAGGTTAAGAAGAAAACAAAAAAATTGAAATCATATTTAATTCCAAAGGAAGTCCCATAATTGTGGTTGGTCGACCAAAGTCAATTAGACAAGGGCTTTTGATGTCATTATCAAAAGCTTAGCTGTGCTTTAACATTATGATTAAATATTCTTTTAGCAAAATCATAGCAGCTTACAACACAAGGCTGGTGTATGGCTCTCAACTGGTCCCCTTTTAATGCGCATCCATATTGCCACCACCATTAACATACATACAAACATATATATAGAGAGAGAATAGAGATATCATAAGCAAGAAACCTGTAATCCAAAGTTTCTCAACCTTATATAGAATATATATGATTGCATTTACACCTATTCAGTAGAGTATCAAACGATAATATAGCAAACAAAATACCAGAATTTTGAACTGGAGGAAAAGAACAATGGATGGAGATTTGGAGACTGATTTAAGCAAACAGTTTTGTATACACTAACACAGGTATGAACATACAGGGTCATAAGAAAAAAAACCATGGAAAATTTCTAATCCATGTTCCAAAACATTAGCCCGGCACCGATACCTTCATCGGGTACTGGATTTTATCCATATATTCCCATCTTCTTTTCCTTTGTGGCAAGAAGCCGGAATCTGTATCTCTTTAAACCTAATAGTCCGCTAAAACACAGTCAAAGGCTCTAACCGGATCAACTTCATCGAACTATAGCACCCGAATCCAGGCAACTGAATGCATACCAGAACACATCCTGATCCGGCTACGTGCTGAAATATCTCTTCTTCATCATAGAATCAAGCTCGGTAATCCAAAAATAAGGAGCCAAATAACACCAGCATTAATATAACAATAATTAGTGGTAGCACACAATCTTAAACCGCAAACTCGTCGATTGCCACAAGTGGAGGAATGTGGTAAAGGTTAATTCTATTAACAATCAGAAACTACAAACTTGCTTATCTCATCCATAACAGTATGGAAGTGATTGTTATTCGGTAACAAGTAAAAGCCGATCGTGGCCTGTTCCATATATAAAAGTTTGACCTCTTGGCCAGCTTTTTTGAGCCCATCAACATAAGCCAATTGCCAATCCTGAATAAGGTCCAAGCCGGCAACCACGACAAGACTCTTCGGGAATTTGATTCCTTCAAGACTTCTACCGTTAGGTCCGAACGGATTACATGCATGATGGTCTCTGTCTTCACCTTCAGGGAGATAAGCTCTCCAATACCAGTCTCGGTCTCGTAGGGTAACAAAGTATTTCCCATCTAAACGCTGTTCAGACTCGGTTCTTTCCTGTCCCCCAAACATTGGATTGAGCAATATGTTTCCCAATACATCGATTCCCGATTCCATGGCTATCAAAGCAACATGGTGCACAATGTTACCACCAGAGCTATCTCCAGCCAGATATATATGAACCTTTGAATCTTTTTGACTTTGAAGCCATGGTCTTGAGTTAACCCACTTAAGTGCAGTCCAACCATCATCATAAGCACAAGGGTATCTATTCTCAGGTGCACGTCGGTAATTCACAGAGACCACAACAGCCTTACAAAGACCTACCAATCGCCGACATAGAGTATCGTAGATGGCGCTGTTAGCCGAGGAATGAGCAAAGCTTCCACCATGAAAGAAAATAATAACAGGGACAACCTCAGCTGTAACAGGCTTCTCAAGTCCAGCAACATTCAGCTGAGGCTCTTCAGCTGTAGCCGGTCTATAGATCCGACTCAGGAGACTCGTACCACGATCGATGAGGACATCAAATGAGAAAACCCCATCAACCGGGTTGGCGTTAGCAGGGACTTTTCGATCGAGAAACTCTGCCAAGTGACGATTGAAAGTGCCATCAGGTCGACGAAGAAGATTGTAAGCCAACTTAAAATTGGAGATGAGGACCCACGTATTTAGGGGAACCACCATCTATTCAGAGACAAAGGCAAAGATTAAAAAAATCAAAACAAAGAACATATGCTATGATGCTAACAACTCCATAATTTTCCACAGTATTTTCAAGTGAGAACTATCCATCAAAGCAAGGCGATCCAAAACAAGAACACGTGAGATTCCTTCACTAATTTATATTACCTCAAAATCTAATCAAGTCTCCCAAATAAAACAACTCAAACCAAAAACAATTAATAGAAGATCTTCTGTAGAAAATACATGATCAGACTACCAGCTGTAACGAAAAGAATCAGCTAAACTCGGGCCGGAAAATATATTAAAAACAGATTAAAGCCCAACTTTAACAATCCAATTCTAGATATAAATTATAGAAACTGACAAATTAAACAGGAGAAAAAGATCGTACCTTGCATTCATTGAGGTTGACTTCATTACTTCTAGCCATTTCCCTCCTCCTCTAAAGATTAAAGAACAAAAACCCAAAGCTTAAAACAGATCCTCTTGAAGAACAACCCGAAAACACACACAATTCATATCACAACCCGAACTCAAGTTAAACTAAATAAATAAAGAAAACAACAAGAAGAAGAATTCTTATTCGATTTTCCACTCCAAAGATCCTCTTTTTCCCCTTCTTTTTCCTTCTCTTCAACTCATCATCAAGTTGTTGGGCTTAATTATACAAGTTCATAAGAAACAGTGAGAGCAAATGATTAATCTCACAGCAATAAAATTAATACGGAGGATGTTATTATTATATGAGAGTGCGATGTGTGGTGAGGATGAAGGATAGGAAACATGTGCGCAGGTTAGAAGGTGTAAACTGAAAAATACTAAAATATACCTGATGTAGACGAGGACATGGGATATGACAAACTGAGCGGCCGAAAGATAACTGTTTTGTAGGTCCCATAAGTCTTGTTTTTATTGAAATTTTGTAAACTCGGATTCGAAATATTTTCATGCCCGATCCTGTTTGACCAGAACGGCCAACCTTGTTCGTCGACGAATTGAAATGGTTATGTTGTTGTCTCCTCTCCCGCTATCTAAGTTTAAATAGTTATATTCAGTGTGTTTGTGTT